TAAAATTCTGAACCTTTAACTTATTTCAAAATTGAACACAATGCTTTCAAAATTCACGTTTAGGTCACTATCCCGATATTGAGGATGTTACACATGGCATACGAGGCATTGACGGGTTCGACCAAAGCTGCCTAAAATGCCAATACCACCAAATAGTGGTACATTCACGATCCTGTGCTCCGTTACATTCACCAGTTTTTGCATACAACTATTCCAGATGTAATGATACTACATCCTACTTGAGTAAGGTTGAACTATTCTTTTTATTGTGTATGCAAACCAGCAAAAAGGTAAACTTAGGATTTTTGTTTGTTCATGCCTTCGAGTGTATTGTGCGTTCTGATCTCCCATTGATTTTCGGCCCTTACATTAAGTATCTTGCATCCCATTTATTTCCTTTGACTTTTGACACTGCTCAATTCACTTACGCATTTTCCATGGATTTTTTGGATGCTAGGTGCTTGGACTCGATGAGATTGCCCATCGGTACTCCCGATGTGCCTCACATTGTACCTTCCGGTACTATATGCATTTTTCTCTGAAGGCCTACACCACAACTAGCACCGGTGGAGCATCACCCGGAGAGGGTGCACGACGAACTCCATCAAATGCACAGCTGGTTGGATTCCATCAAGACCAATCTCGCTGCGGTTCTCTCCTACCTTCTCCCGGGGCCTTATCAACGCGACCCTGGCTGTGTCCGACATTGATCGGGAGTATTCTCACCCTCTGTCTTATGCTTTTTATTTTTAATTTCATATTGGGGAAATATGACTAAAGTGGGGGTGGAATTAGAAATCAAGTTCACCTTTTCTTATTTAATTATGATTGGAATTTAGATATTTTTTATCTTGATTGTTAGAAATCTTGGTTGCCTTTCTCTTGTTTTGTTTAGTTTCCTTGTCGTTTCTTTGATATTAATTCATACTTGCTTTCATTAAAATTTTGGATGTAGATAGGATGGCATGATAAATTTGTGTGATTCTCTTGGAAATTTGATGAATTTGTTGATTGAATATGATGCAAGACTTAGTAATTAAACCATTCATGTGAGGATTTGAGCCTATTGATCATATCTTCTAATTCTTTCTCTTTGTTTCAATTTAGTGTGTCGAGCTAATTAATTACATTGTAGAACTTTTGGCGCAATGCTTATCGAGACTACACATTTTGATTATGATGCTTTGATATGATATAGGTATGAGGATTAAACATGTTTCTCTTCCCAAACAAAATAACCTACCCTTTTATTTATTTTCCCCTTAGATAACCAATTTGAGCCTTAAATCATTTTTTTACTACATCATTAACCCGAGCCTATTTTATTTGTTTTACCCCTCTTTTTGTCACCCTTTTATGTCAAGGTAAGATTATTCCGTAATTCTTCCGCAAAATAAAAATTAGACAATGTTCGAAGAAAAAAATTGTGTTGTTGTGTTTCGAACAGCAGAAGAAAAAAAGAGAAAGTAAGAAAAAAAAACTTTGATTATTTGTTGTTTGATTTCTTATTTCTTTCCTTCTATTTTGTTTCCCCTCAAATAAAAATTATGGAATGATCTTATGCTTGTCTTGAGTTTTAACTTTCATTTTCGGCCTTTACCATACCCGAACCTTAGTCCCGTTATAATCTATTTAAAGACCTTTTGATTATTGCATCATTTTCATATTAAGTAGTGGAGATTAGATTTAGTTACAAGCCTATGGTAATGAATTGATTGGTTTGGGCTTGAGCTATTCTTACTTGAAACACTTGAACAAAATGAGTGAACTTGTGTGAGGAACTAGGCCTTGTACTCTTTGCAAATTAACGAATAATTGAAATGCCAAGATTGATTTACACTTAATTAATTGTGCCTTGTTTGATCCATCTTAAGTTTCTTCATTTGCTTGGTAGAATTCCTTACAAACCTTGGAAATTTTATGCAATGGGAATTGGCAACTTGAGATTTTCAACATGATTAGTTGGGGAATGCTTGAGGGCAAATAAGTGAGGTGGAATTTGATTAGTGTTTAAATTAGTTAATATTTAATTGTTAATTTATCGATTTATTGGTTTTTGTTGTTTATTTAGGCATTTTCTCCTATTTTCTGTTCAGGGCATTGGATTCTGGAAATAACACTAAAAAGGCATATTTTTGTAGTTTTTTTCTTCTAGAGTCAAGGCTGGACTAGTGATCGTGACTTGGGGCATGACTCTACTGACGTAGCATCCAGTCAACATCTTCTAGAAGCTCTAGTCAGCGTTTCCATTGAGACAAGATAAACATCCCTTTCGAGTAAGCCTTAGAGATCATCCCGATTATACTTGTTCTTTTTATTTTCTTAGTTTTATAAAAGTATTCTTCTTGTTTTTATCACGGTCTTCTTTTATTTTTTTCTTCAAGTTATTTTCTTTTAAATGTTGAGTATGATTTCTATCATGCTTAGCTAAGTTTTTCATATCCAAATACTGAAGTGACGACTCAATTCCTATCATGGGAACTGAAAAGCACCTCATACCTTTCGGGTTAAATTTCTTGGTTTTCTAGAAACTAGATTGACGGATCGTCTTTCTTAAAATCAAAACTCTTTCCCTTCAAAAGTATATTTTGACTTGGATGTTGTTATGGTTTATCATTGGGATTATAAAATCTATTGATTTGAATTCCCTAGAACACACTTAGTGATAGCACACTAAGGGGAGATTGAGATCGAGTTCGAGTTTCATAGATAAAACATAATTCGAGTCGGGTTTTTTTCCAAAGCGCTTTTAAATTGTTTTGAATTAACTATGATGGTCGCGGTTAATCCGAACAAAGATTGAGATTTGGAAAATAGATTTGGAAAAAATCAATCACCAGAGGGAAAAGTGAGCTACAAGGATTGAACCTTGCAGACTCAAACCGACGTTTAATCAGAGTAAAATCCTATTTAAGGATTGATTGGAATTTAAGACAAAGCGGAAGCATGAGGCTGTTTTTAATCATCTTGAATTTTAATTTACTTTCTTCAATTTTTATCTTTCTTTAAATCTTATTCACTTATTCAATATCTCAACAAACTCCCTATTTATTTTATTTGCAGTTTCACGCCTAGATCAAATATCAAATAAATAATCTCATCAGGAAGTTTTCTTAATCTCTGTGGGATCGATCCTTATTTATCCCTTACTACGTTTAATTTCCTTTATTTATTATTTAAGAATAAATTATTTTGATGCAAAAACGAGGCGTGTGCAAGCTCTTCTGCTGCTAACGATGCCAGACCATCCAACACTTAACAGGATGCCTTCTGCCATTTCTGAAATTCCTTCCTTTGCTTGTTGTTCCCCCCCCCCCCCCCCCCCCGTTGTTTGACTGCTTTTGTTTCATTCCATAATTTTCTCCTCCATGATATAAAAAGATGGCTTACATTGTTCAATAATAATAATAATAATAATAATAATAATAATAATAATAATAATAATAATAATAATAATAATAATAATAATAATAATGTGAAACCAAGTCCAGCCTGGGTTTGGTATCCATCAACGCAAAAATCCAAAGGAATCCCACAAGTTCTTGTTTAGCTAAACACAAGCAAGACATTATTGGGGCCGATAGTAATAGTTCAATTAAATGATTCGAGTATGAGATTATTGGGCCCGATAGTTATCTGGATTTTGGACAGTCCAATACGAGGCTTTAATTTTATTTTTTTTATTCAACGATCTTTAATTAATTCATCAAGCGGTTTCTAATTTTTGGACCAACTATCTCTAGTCAGCTGTGTTACTATGTAAATCACATCACCCATCACCCAATATTTGACTTTATCAAACCAATCCATTTTCTGAATTTAATTCAATATTATAAAATAATGGTAGAATTTTTAATTTCAGGAATGCAATTACAATACTATTACATAATCAATTTCTTTCTTAATCTCTTATTTTAAAATAATTATCTATTAATCAATTAAATTACTCAGTAAATTATTAAAAAAATACACTCTTGTAGTTTTGGTAAAAACCAGCAGCTAAATGCTCACGTAGAATTTGAAGCATTGACTATATATTACGAAAACATTAATTTTCCATTTCTTTAGTTCAGGGTATGCTAATTGAATAACCCCATATTGTTAATTTGAAAATCAAAACTCCACATGAACCGAGTAACCTCAATAATAAAAAATTATTATAATTTTTAAGATTTCAGATTTAAATATTATATTATAAATACAAAAAATATAAATATTCAATATCAATGCGACTACCTATATATATATTTTTTGTAACTATTTTAATCCAACCTAAAAGATCCTACCTCGGATCAGCTTGAGCCGTCCTACTATGAAAAATAAAATATGGGTTAATTCACTAGATGTCTCCAAATTTTGACATAAATTTTAAATTAATCTACAAACTTCAAATATTCTAATAGAATCCCTAAAATATAGGCATCATATCAATAAGATGTTCTCTTTTGTATATCATCATCTTCTACATTAAATGCTAACTTGAATTTGATGTAAAATTTATTTTAAAACACTATAATCAAATTTTAAATACATGTACGACTTATCTATGACATGTTATTAAAAAGGAAATAACCTCGTCAAATTTTAAAGCTATACTCATTTTTATGACATATGAGATCTAAACTAATTATATAGTGGATAGTGTCGTAATAATATTTACACTTAAAGGACTCAATTAGAAAGTTTTGGAGTTTGGGATCAATTTCAAATCTAGACCATAATTTAAGATTATGGTACAATTAACCCATAGCATATGTGTATATATTATATATATATCGTCTTACGTTCAATTCACCCAATAATATATGTTATCTTACGTATAGAATATTATAACGTACAAGTCAGTCGTTATTGATGACATTTAACTAAGAAAATGATAATTATATGGTTGATTGTCTGGTCCAGGCCGAGTTTTCTTGATAATGCTGTCTGAATTTCCATCTTCAGCACAGTACTGTAAATTTCTCTGTCATGTTCATCAGCTTTGACCATATTAAAAATTTGACTTTTCTAAATAAGTCAACTTCCACATTTACAGATTTATGGCAAAAAATGTAATGCAAAAAAAAAAAACATTTCAAAGAGCGAAATAGGAAAATTTTCACTTTCAGCTATGCTTTTGTTGATCTTAACGATGCTCATTTTCTGTAAGGAAGTTTGTGCAGATCCCCTCTTCACTTTTTGTTCAGACAACACAATCAACTACACGACCAACGGCACATTCCACAACAACCTTAAGTCGGTTCTCGAGTCATTACCTTCCAATACTTCGAGTACTGGCTTCTACAGCACCTCGATCGGAGACGGTGCCAGTCACGTCTACGCTCGAGCACTTTGCCGAGGTGACGCCACCGCTACGACATGTCGAAGCTGCGTTTTAAATGCCAGTCGAGATGTCCTAGACGGGTGCAGAACAGGAGAAGCGATCGAATGGTACGATAACTGCCAGGTTCAGTACTCATTTCAGAACAGTTCCTTGATGGTTTATACAGGAAAGTACCCTGACTCAAACCACAACGAGAAAAACATATCGAATCCTGGTCGGTTCAACGATGTATTAGCGTTTTTGATGAACAACATCTCGAGGACGGCGGCGTATGATTCCAGGCTCATGTTCGAGACCGGAGAAGTGAAGATTAACAAGAAGGAAAGGATATATGGTCTTGTTCAATGCACCAGGGACATTTCTGGTGATTTTTGTCTGAATTGTTTAAATTCAGCTCTTAAAGATCTTAATGGCTGCTGTCGTCCTCGGACAGGGGGAAGTGTTCTTAGCAGGAACTGTAACGTGAGGTTCCAAATGTACAAATTTTATAACGCCTCGGATTCTCCATTAATGTACCCAGAATTTCCAGCAGGTGCATCAACAATAAACCTTACATGAAATAGTTCATTAATTAGTCCCCAAAAGTGGTGAAATTGCATATTGACCCCCAGAATTTAATGTTGGCCTGGAAACAGGGGATAGGTGGAGCATGGGGATGATTATGGCAGTAATTGGTGCAGCAGCACTGGTTCTTGCACTTCTCATTGGTTCTCGGTTTATATATAGCCGGTTGATGAAAAGGAAACAAATCGGTAAATCTCTGCAAAAAATTTCCAACCAGATTATATTTATATTGAATTGTTTTTCAGTGATCAAATAAAGGATCAAATTATAGACCCGGAGTTTATTTATATTTGCAGATTTGGAAAGAAGCCAGACAACACTGCTATATGAATTGGCAAGTCCAAAGGAAGTAATCATAACCGAAGAAGGCCAGTTAGTAGCTTCTCAAGAGTTCCCCTTCCTCGATTTACCTACAATCAAAGCAGCTACAAATGGTTTCTCTGATTCAAACAAGCTCGGACAAGGCGGCTTTGGTACGGTTTACAAGGTACTCGAGAGTTCCTTTACGAATGAATTCATATCTGAATAATTATAATCAAAATCAATCATGATAATGAATGATGGTATTGATAATTGAATTTGACAACTTTAAGGGAGTGTTACCGAATGGGAAGGAAGTGGCAATCAAAAGGTTGTCAAGGAAATCATGGCAAGGCTTAGAAGAGTTGAAGAATGAAGTTATATTGATTGCAAAGCTTCAACATAGGAATCTTGTAAAGCTTTTGGGATGTGGGATAGAAGGTGATGAAAAGCTGCTCATATACGAGCTTATGCCCAACAAAAGCCTTGATTTCTTCATCTTCGGTAGGTACCCTTTTCTGAGCTTATCGCCAAGATTTTAAATTAGTCCTCAAGCTTTAGAACGCTTTAATCGAATTATAAAAGTATCAACAGATCGCTAGTTTTTGTTTCAGATTCCGAGAAACGCTCGAAGATCGATTGGAAGATATGGTGTGACATTATTACTGGAATTTCCAAAGGACTTGTTTATCTTCACGAGGATTCGAGACTTAAAATCATTCATAGAGACCTAAAACCCAGCAATGTGTTGTTGGATCAATACATGGTAGCCAAAATATCAGATTTTGGGATGGCAAGGATTTTCTGTGAAAATCAGAACGCAGCCAACACTAAGAGAGTTGTGGGAACATAGTGAGTAACCCTTTTATCTTTGCCTTCACAATATCACTCTTGATAAGGTGTGTACTTGAACTTGAAACAGCGGATACATGGCACCGGAATATGCAATGGAGGGATTATTCTCAGTGAAATCGGACGTTTTTAGCTTCGGTGTGATCATGCTCGAGATTCTTTCCGGGCAAAAGAACAGTGGCTTTTACCAAACCAAACATGCTCAGACACTTCTTGCATATGTAAGTGTACCCTGTAATTTGTCATGCCTGCAATGTTGTGCTCATTAGGTGTCTTCGATTATTTGAATGCATTTGGCAGGCTTGGGGACTATGGAAAGATGGGAAAGAACTGGAATTGATTGACCGTTGTTTGCTGGAATCATGCTCCATACCAGAAATCAAGAGATGCATACATATAGGTCTTTTATGTGTGCAAGAAGATCCGACAGACAGACCGACCATGTCCGATGTAGTAGTTGTCTTGGGAAGCCATACGATCACTCTTCCCGAACCGAAAAAACCTGCATTTTCGGTCGGAAGAATGATTCCGGTTGATCAGGCTTCAACAACGGATCCATCGATAAGTCAGATGACGATGTCTAATATCTCAGCCCGCTAAAAAGTTGACCCGAGAGTAAATTGAATCTAGTCTATATGTAGAGTAGAATGTTCAAAATCTCTATTTCCTTTTTTGTACAAATCAAGTGAAGAATGTTGATGTGTTTGTTCTATTAACAGGCATGATTAATTGTAATTAGAAATTCTGCAAAATCATGTTGAGGTGAAGTAGATTTGATTAAAGGCATTTTCCTCCGTTGTTAAACTTGGAGATTCCTTAATTTTGTCTTTAAGGTAAAATTAGCCACTAATCTTCAACAATTTCAATTATTAAATAAATTAAATATCGGTTAAAATATAGTTAAAACAATTGATAATATTTTTAACAGTTTAGCTGATATTTTATTGAGATTGGGACGATTATATTTTAACTAAATTATTGATAATTTAGATTTTATTATAATTAAGATATTTTGGTAATTGATTTTATTTAATAAAATATTTATTTTAGGTAAGAATTCTTATGAAATAAAAAAAATTGGTGACCAAGTATTTGACTCTATAATAGAAATTACTTTTGGGGCTTATGTTGTAGAGATAGTTTTGTAGGAATGTTGGAAGAGTGTTTTGGGATATATCGGGTTTTGGTATCTATATCGGGTTACTCTTCGTGTTCTCTACGTTTATAGTGAATTGTTGTTCATCTCGCCTGTGGAGGTAGGCAAGGCCGAACCACCGCTTTAAATCTTTTCTCTTGTGCATATTTTATTTTATGTTGACGTAGCTTTGATTATTTTTTTGGCTCTCAAATTTCTAACAAATTTATCATGAGCTATGGTTCGGACTGTGGAGTTTTGAAGGAATTTGTTGATGCGGATTTTGTTAGCAATTTTGGAGACATGCAAGATAAGTTTGGTACAATGAGTTTTCAATTGCGAAGAAGAAATTATCGATTGATTTAGTGGTACTTCAATGTATATTGGGTAAGAATTAAAGTTATTGAAGATTTAACAACGGTGCTTCAATGGATATGCGACTTACGTAAAGATTGAAGTTGTTGAAGACTTGAAGATTCGAAGACCAATTTTTTATGAAACTTAGTTCAAAAGGGAGATTTGTTATATTTTGACTTATATTATAATTGTTAATTAAGATAGATTTTAGGTTTAGCTACATGGATGATCACTTATGTTTGTGTTTTGTCCACTTTTGGTTACTGATTTCAAAATACATAAGACATTGTCACTTTCGTTTTTATTTAAATAAGATTTGGTCACCACGGGTTTACTATTGTTAGACCACTAGTGATTTGCTGAGCTAGCACGGAAGGGTAAAAGTAAAATATAAATTTGGTCACTTTTGTTTTAGTTTTATAAATGTATGGTCACTCGATTCAAAAAAACATAAGTTTTGGTCACTTACGTTATTGTTCTATTAAGATTTGGTCACTAAGACGTTAGCTGTCGTGAGTTTGATGATGTAGCACATTACTAAAATAGATTAAAACTTATTTTAACCCTTAAACTTTAGATAAATTATTAATCATGGGTCTTTTGTAAATAGTTTATGGGTAAAATATCAATTTACCCCTTTTTCCATATGTTTTCTTCCACAATCCTATCTTCTCCGCCGCTTCCCCTGCTTCATATAGGTTTTGTTTTTCTGTTTGGGTTGTTGAAATATTGGTTAACCCAACCTTAAATCAAATTACTCCCAAACCCAAGCCATAAAAGAAAGAGAAAGAGATGAAGCTACAAGCGACGGAGGTAAAATTTTAGCAAGAATTGTTTAATTTCATTGCATATTGTTGGGGGAATATATAGTTTTGATAATTTAAAATTGTAGGGAAACACGTCTTAATGCTCCAGGTTGTGAAGCCATTCACATTACTGAAATTGAGACAACCTTCATTTTTTTGTACAAAGATTTGTTTGTCCTTGGGAATGCAGAATAAGCAGAGCGAAGGCGTTCTAGGTTTGATCCATATGGTTTAGAATGGTTGCAAACAGAAATATAGATTCACTGCCAGAAGCGGCGAAGGCATGGAGAAGTAGGCACAAGTGTGGGATAGAATTCTTATAAAAGGAAAAAAGGGTAAATTAAAATTCTATCCCTAAACTATTTTGGGTTTAAAAAATATATTTAGTATTTTATATAAAGTTCAAGGATTAAAATAAAAATTAAACATTTTTACTAACATGCCATATCATCAAACTCACGGCAGCTAACGTCTAAGTGACTAAATCTTAATAAAACGGTAACGTAAGTGACCAAAACTTATGTTTTTTTGAATCAAGTGACCATACATTTATAAAACTGAAACAAAAGTGACCAACTATGTAGTTCATCCTTGTGTGTTAGGTGAACAAATCGTTAGTGGTCTAACGGTAGTAAACCAGTGATGACCAAATCTTATTTAACTCAAAACGAATATAACTTTATCTTATGTATTTTGAAATCAGTTAAATAAAGTTGACAAAACACAAGCATAATGTAACAACTCAACCCGTACTCGACTTGGAAACGAGTCCGAGATGTCACATTGAATCTTTAAAACAATTTCCTTACAAAATAACCGAACATTTGGACTTATATTAAGAAAATACGACCATATATTGTTGAATTATATTCCATTATAACAAATTTAAAAAATACGTTTTCAATGAATGGTACTATACGGTATGAATAGTATTATATTGTATGAATAATACTGTAAGCAGTAATGAACAATACCATGAATAGTGCCGATTCTAAAAATTTTCCAAAATGCTGCAGGAGTATCGATACCCTGCTACAGTGTACCGATACCCTTGCTACAGTAATTTCGTCCACTTATTAAAAACTCATAAAATTTTAAACGTTCATCACTATACATTTACCATTTACATATATACGTTTAAAACATTACAAAAATTCAATCATATGATTTTACAAAACCGATTAAAATATATATATCGAATTCAACTCTTTATTTACATGCCAACCTCAATCAATATTACAAAATACAATCTATTCAATTCTTTTCTGATCTGACTTGTGGAAAGGATAAACTGACCTGTCTTGCTTAACTTTTATCAATCTTCCTCTTCTTGGAACCTACGTGTGAAACAATTACACGCTAAGTCATTGACTTAGTGAGGCATATAAAACATATAATAGAAATCATAGAACATTTTCACATAACATAATGCGTATATGTACATAGACCATCATTATCATTAACCTATTTATCATATGATCTTATACTTATCATTTCTATGTATCATATAACACATATAACATCATATAATTCCTATGAAACATTTCATATCACCAAAAGCATATACATAACATATATTGTATTTGTTATTATATTTTTATTAGCCCATGATACACTGGTGAGAACTAAAGATATGTGAGTACATAGAGGTTGTGCACACTTATGCTATCACCACAGCTCATATAATAATCTGTCTATATGTCCTGAAGAACATAGGTAAACTGTCCCTAAGTCCCGAAAGACATAGGTAATATTATCCATATGTCCCAAAAGACATAGGTAATATTGTCCATATGTCCCAAAAGACATAGGTAATTGTAACATCCTCCATATCGGGTTAGTGATCAAATTGTGAAATTTTATAATTTAGCGATCAAAGTTGATAAATTGAAAGTTAAGGGAATTGATTGAAATATTTGGTGTAGGATCAATTAGCAAAGCATGGGGAACTAAAGGGGCAAATGAGTCTTTTGACAAGGAAATAATTAAATGTTTCTTAAGGATATTTAATAAACCACGTGGAAAGCTAATGAGAGAAACAAGGTTCTGGATATTTCTTTCTTCTTCCTTCTCCTTCTCTGCCGTGAAGCCAAGCTAAAGGTGAGTTTTCTTGTTGATTAAATTCTTGATGAATTTAAGGTTTCTTATTGATCCTTAGTTGATAACTAAGCTTAAGGAAAGCTTAGATTATCTTAAAACCATAAGATGGGGAGAATATGAAGAATCAAAGAAAGGAAGTAGAAAAGTGAAATCTTGGATTAGAGTTCCTAATAAGAATTAGAAGTGGAATTTGACTTGTCATAAAGCTAACTAAGAAGTATGAGGTGTTAGAATTCAAATTAGAACATGTTGGAATTTAGGTTAGATTCTTAAATTCTACTTGGAGAATTGGATTTTTAAGTTTCAAAAGTATGGAATGGATAATAATTAGTTTAAGTAAGAGTATGCAAGTTAAGGATATATAAAGAGGGGAAATATAAAGTGTTAAGTAGACTAAGAATAGATTTTCGTGCTAAAATGACAATTCTGGGCAATGTGCATCGATGCACATTCATTGTGCACCGATGCATCAATGATAAATCCCAGAAATTGTTTAAGGTGCATCGATGCACATGAAGTGCATCGCTGCATTAATTTAAAAAGAAAACATCGAATAGGATTTATGCATCGATGCATAAGGAGTACATCGATACATCCCCATTAAATACAAACATCGAATAGGATTTATGCATCGATGCATGGTGTAGTGCATCGATGTATACCTCCATTAAAAGATGAAAATGGCTTTTCTTTTAGCCTAAGAAATGATAGTTTAGAATATATTAATTAGTATACTGATAAGTATCAATGAATTACTATGTAGATATCGAGCCTAAACGAGTTCCAGAACCATCAACAAGTAGGATCAATCAAGGGAAAGACAAAGAAATCTAGGTGAGTGCATATGCATAGCATGAATATGTATTTTATTCAGTTCTAGACTTGTGATAAGTCTAGATTCAATATTTTGATACATGATAGTATTTCATATTATGATATATGACATGAATTCATACCATATGCATTATGAGACATGAATATGCAAGAAAAAGTTATATGAGTTATGTGATAAAGGTATGAAAAAAATATGTCTATGTGATACAAATAAGATAAATTGTGAAAGCACATGTTATGTAAATGAGAACTATAGGTATAGTTGGCATGCCAAGGGTAGAGGGTCTATGTGGTCCTTCGGGACATATATATATTCTTTGGAACATGTGTGAGGTCTGGTGAGACACATACTTGATCCTTGGCATATGTATATGATTCTTAAGGAATGATATGTGGTTCTTCGGGACATATATGTATTCTTTGGAACATGTGTGAGGTCTGGTGAGACACATACTTGATCATTGGCATATGTATATGATTCTTAAGGAA